CCAAAAATTACTATTCCAAAATACATTTTTCCTAAAACTTATTTTTAATTGAGCCCAAAGAGGGGCTAAAATTTAAAACCAATAATTTTTGTTAATACCTAAATAGGAAAACTCAATAGGAGAAATTACAGTGAATTGAAAAAATCATATTATTTTTGTAACCACTCAAGTGAAATTATTATAGCTTCATTCGTTGCAATCTCAATTTATTGAAATGCTATAAGAATTTTATCATAATCGCAATCAATAACTTAATCGTCAAAGATGAAATAGACATCATCTCACCATCTCTAATGGCCACTTTCGTGAATTTTAGCTTCTTGATGTTAATTGGAATTACTCAAAAATTTTCAACGTTGACAATAGTAAAAAAATTAATTTTAATGTAATGTTATTCATTATCAAAGATGTTAAGCACCAATTTATGTGTGACAATTACATGATATTAAATGATATATTCATTTAAATACAAGTCAAATGACTTATTTAATTGGATTTATAAAATGGAACCACCTAAACTGGTGCTAAAGAACGTTATTCTTAATTTTAACATCTGCAATTTCTTGGTGCTATAACCGTCACATAAATATTGTTTTTGTGTTATTTCTTGATACTCAAAACACACCCCAACGATTTTTCCTAGGAAAAATTTCAGCAGTGGTCCCTAACCTTTCACTTTTTTGCAAACTTTAACCTAGCTTTCACTTTGTACCACCACAGCTTCAAACCTTTCAAAAATATGCCAAAAAATCCATTTGATTGTTAGTTGATCAGATTAGTAAAAAATTAATCAATTTTGACCAAACAAAAAAGGGCAAAATGATATATTTACATTTTTCCAAATTATTAACAATTACAACAATTAAAAAAGAAAAAAAAAACAAAAAAGGAAGTTTGCCCTACTCACCTCGTGATGCCACCTATTGAAAATCACTCAAAACACCAACCAATCGTCGTCCAAACCACTGGATATCCATACCATTAGAAAGCTCTCACTTTCCTCTTCATAACTCATCCAACCACTGGCCATAACTCGGACAAATTTGGCCAAAAATTCAACTTAAAACAGGCTGGTCACTCACCAAAAAATACCTTTGGCGACACCCATGCGAAGCTCACCCTCCAAGTTGACCAAGCACCTACTGATACCCATGTAACATCAAACGAAGCTGTAAATCCAAATCTATAGTCAATTCTTCGAACAGCAAACTTAGATCGTTCAAAGGACAATTGCGGTGTCGACAGTGCAACCCACGATTGTGAACCAATGTCATAGTTCCCGCCTCATCAAGGCGCATCTACTTGTTCCATGGGTCATCATCAATTTTACCTTAATGCGGACGAACCAGAATTGACAGTTCACGCACAGGAAATTCCAACTAATTCCCTTTCAATCGATGATTCAACAAGACTCCAAATCGTCAATTCCAGTACTCAACCCTTAATTGATGTTGGTATGACTATGGATCATGCTTCAATTGTACCAATTCCTCAATCAAACGAGCCAATTTCTAATTTGAATCCAAGAACATTTTGTTTAATTGTTGTTGTAATTATTTAATAAATTTGGAAAATGTAAATATACCATTTTACCCTTTCTAGTTTGGTCAAAATTGATTAAATTTTGACTAATCTGGTTAACTAACGGTTATTTGGACATCGGGTGCATATTTTTTAAATGTTTGATACCGTGGGTGGCACAAAGTGAAGTTAGGATAAAGTCTGTAAAAAAATGAAAGGTCAAGGACTGCTGCTGCAATTTTCCCTTTTTCCTATTTGAACGAAAGAATATCATGGAAATCGTAAAAAAGAAAAAGAAATTGAAATTAGTAACTATTTTATTCCAAACAATTGCGAATTTCGCTATTTCTTACACATCAACAATTTCGAATTTTTTTTTCCTTCGAGTAAAATCATTTAAACGAATTTCTCCGACTATTATTAGCTTTCTTGTTGCCTTTCCGTCTACATCTCCAGGCTATGGATGGACCCACATGGGATCATGAGGGGTCAAATGACCCTACAATTTTTATTATTTTTTAAAATCTCTAGTCGTTTTCTTCGCTGTTTATTTTAACGTGCTCATTACGAGATGTCAAACGATCCAAAATGTTGAATTGTTAAAACCATTTCAAAGTGCTCACAGTCTAGTTTTTTGCTCATTAATGACACGTGAAACGGTCAACAGCAACAAAACTTATGACGCGTCAAAGTAGACTATTTCGAACTACTATTTCTAAAATTTCAATAATATGCTAACTTTAAAAACTCACTGACAATTGTACTCTAGCTGAATCCACAAATCGCCTACATCACTAAGAGGTTTATTTCGAGAACTACATTGTAATCATATCGAATGGTCCAAACGGATAACGAAAATAATTAGACGTGTGTCAAATGTACGTCTCTAAAAAAAGTCTAACATATCTTTCCTTTAAAAGTTTTTAATTATTTCATTAACGTTTATTATTTTTGCACAATGAATTTCTCAATATAATTTACATCATTTTATTAGCAAATTTTACATGAAACATGACATAAAATTTTTTAGAATCGTTACAGGTTAAATGTAATTTAAATTACTTTCAAATTAAATTTGAATTTCATTTACTTCTTAGATTGGATTTGTATTTTATTTCAATTAATTTACTTCCGACATTCAACTTGGTTGACTCATCGTCAGCTCAGTATTTGTCAACGAGGTGGTAAACAAAACTATACAAGTAGTAAAATCTATTTGACAATAATTATAATGATATAATTATATGACATTTTCAAAGTCTCAAGATGCATAGACTACAATTGTAGTAATGTATTGACTTATTTTAATATTACGTTGATTTAAAAAAAAAAAATTACATTTTAACCTTTGATCCCACAAATACATATGGTCTGTCTCGGCCCTGGTCTCGAGCTACTTCAATTTGAAATTATATTGAGAATCTCAATTCTTTACTGGTTTTAGCTCTCTCTATCTTGATGCAGCTGGAGACCGTGTGATGCTGCCCACCATGTCGAGTGCCACGCATGGCTGATCAACCGGTACCTGAAAAATCACACAAAATTCAATCAAATAAGTTCACCTAATTTCACTTTTTGCAAGAAGGATATTCTGAGAAGTGAGAATTCATTTACAGATGGTTTCCGACACGGAAAAGACTTCATTTTCCGACACTTTTTAGTTCTTTAATTGAATAGTTGGAGAATTAGTATTAATTCCATGCAAGTGTACCTCAAAGTGTAAGTTGAGTTGACTGAATACAACAATTTATATATTTTTATTACACATTAATTCTATCTATACAGACTACCAAACATATCAATATGCATTCAAGTGTGTACAAGACTTCTATCCCATATTTGATAGGCTAGATCGAATTGAATCTGAATAGATTTTCAAATCAAAACTATTTTAAACAGTTTGGAAAAAAAAAAAAATCGAAACCCAAACTATTTTTACTAGTTTAAGATTCTCTCAAGCCTACACCTAACGATTTGCCGTGGTTTAAAATTGTGATTTGACCGTATACTTTTTCTTGGTGTTCACTTTATTGTCACTAATGGTGATAAATACACGCCAACTGTAATTTAAATACCAATAGAACCAAAGAAAAGTCTCAAGGATGGGAATATGAAATTATGATAATTAACTAATTAGAAGTATTTGGTTATGGACACTTCATCAGATTTCCCATCTTGTATTAGAATTTAATAGTTATGTCTATTTTGGAGGTTAAAACTGTAATTTACCGGTCTAATTTCAAGTAAATTTTATTATTAATTTTTTATTATTCTAAACGGTCCGGTTAAGTTTCAAATAGTCGTTAAAATTTCAAAAACTAAACCAAATCGTTTTAGGACTGTTTGACCCTTATTTCAAAATTGGTACGATAACGAGTCCACGTAACTCTAGATCGACTTCTATTTTATTTGATGGTTTTAGCTTATTCTGAAGGAAATAACCTTGAAATTTTCTAAAATATACAACTATAATCTAGTTACTCGGGTACAATCATGTTAATACTAATATTCAAAGTAAACAATGTTGGATCACGGGACAATTAGAAAAACTTGGGTTGCTTCCAATTGTTGTACTTAGGACTCAAGAATCGAGACCATGTACCTCATACCTTTGACTTCAATTATAATCACACAAAGGCCAGGCTGTTTCAGCTTGGGAAGGTATATAAGCCATTAATGGGCACATGAGTAAATCATGGTAGGATCATGTCTTGAACCAAAAATGGCATTAAATTTTAAATTTCTCTACACACAGTACTGTGTATATTGATCAGTATACGACAAGTCTTTTCAACAATGAAAAGGATAGGTTATAATTAGAATTTTACTTACAGAGTCAAAGATTTGGCGCAAGTAATAGAGAGTTTGATCTACTTACAAAGTGGCCAGCTCCAAGAATCCAGTAAAAATGTAAATTCTCGTATGACTTTGTGTAACCCTTTGTAGTTTTCTCATTCCCACAAAACAATGGTGTTCTCTCCATGCTCAAGAATGTTTTTAGTCCATCCCATCTGACAGAACAAATAATTATATGAATTTAATGTACTTTTCCTCCTTTTAACTTCTCATCTTCTCAACGTTAGCACAGACGTGGTGATAATTATTCTTAATTTACACAACAATTCACGTGTAATAACATCAATCTTACTTGAGCTTTTCGAGCCACGCTTCAGTTCCCTTGGTTGAACAGATCACATCCAACTACAACAACCAAATAATGCACATCATTTTTCTGTAATCAGCTAATTTTTGTGGCAATCAATAGCAATGCTACTACAACTTGAGGGATTTGATTGAATCATGCTACAGTGACATAATCATTGACATAATTATTGACATAAAACGTTACATGGCACTTCATCATTAAACTATTTTAAACACAATCAACTTTTTTATCCAATCACATCTTGTCAACCAATATTATGTCATTACATCTGTGAATGACTTTCTGTCAAAGTGGAATAACCCTTATTGATTATACGCGATTTAATAAGGACTAAGAATATCATCCCATAATTGCACAATATAATTATTGAGAACAAGAGCGAAAGAAGTATAAGAATCCTCTTACTTGACCACTGTATACTGTGATATTGACTCCTTTCGCAAGCAATTCATCAACCTCATTGATCCTTGGCCTCATGAAGTCTCCTTCAAGTGCAGTGAAAACAAAATCTGATTGCCCTCCCCATCTGCGAATTAAACACATTATTAGCCCTTACTAATGGGGGATTGTAAAAAAACAAAACACACTAAAATTCTGTCAATTTTTTAACTCACTGGACATTGTCTGGGATTATCTTTAGCTTCTTTTTAATAGGACCATTCATAAGGCTATCAAGATCACCATCGCCATCGGGAGTTGGCCTCAAAGAGTTCAAGTATTTCAAGTAACGCTTTTTTGAAATTTCCCGTTTTAGCTCAGAAGCTGTCATGGATACTGGATCCATCCCTGAATCCAATAGAAAATTGTAGAAATCCTGCAAAAATACTTCATTGTGCACGATTCAGAATGTTTATCCTTTGAGAAAAATGATTTTATACACAATTAAATCAATCCAATTGTCATTGGATGTCAATGGATTGAGCAGGGATAAGATGGAATTTTACCACTGAGTTGCTGCTAGAACCAATGACATGCTCGAGTTCGCTCCACGTATCTGTTGCCTCTACAAACTTACCAGCTGCAAGTTCTTGTTTAATTTGCTGCGCTAGACTGTTTTTCGAATAAATTTGTTAGCCAAAAAAAAAAAAACTAAATAAATTAAAAAAAAAAATCTTAACTCTAACTAAATTAAGCATGGTAAGAATTAAGAAACGTTGACCTGTCTGACTTTTGTGCACCATTGTTGTCAAGCCTTGAGACATCTTTAAGAAGAGGACCCCATGAGAACTACAATGAACTTTAAATTTAGTACAATTCTCACTTTCCCACCGTAGTAAGATAATTAAAATATGTCCCCTTATACTGCTTACCACAAAATCTTCGGGTGAAATCCAAGTGTCCCCCAATGCAATTCCTGCAAAAAGAAAACAAATTCAATGTACATCCGTACCTAGTATTGAACATGACTGTATGTATGATCATCAAAGTTTAAAGGTTCAAATTGGATCCTTTTTTCACATCTATATTTGAATTCATCAACCTAAGATTCCAAAATGAGAAAAAGAAATGACGATTACCTCCAAACTTGAGCTTTAATTTTCCTGCCTCTATTGCCTTTATTGCTGATAATCCAAGAGTGACAGCATATTTTCCTCCATAGGACTCTGCCACTACATAAAGAGGACTCTTTTGGAGGCTTTCATTTCTATTAAAAATTTCTATCAACAATGTAGTTAAATCATTTGCAGCTTCAACATCAGTTTTAACAAACAGATTTTTATTATCCTGCTCCACAAAACTATATCCAGTGCCAACAGGATTATCCTGTACAAAATATTTAGAAAAAAAATTAGAAAAAGAATTAAAAAAGAAACAAGATATTATAATTATGAATATTATAAAGAATTTTGTTCTTACCACAAATAGAAGATCAGCTTTTCTCAGCCACGTGGAATTTCTAGGCTTCAAAAAAGTGTCTAAAGGCCCAACCTCTTCAAAATTCCCAATTCCAACTCCAGAAGCACCCTGTTCATTACAAAATTTATACTACATATTCAGATATAAACATTTCACAGATCTACCAAAGAAGTAATGAGAAACTCAAAAGTATAACAAAAGTTACAATAATTGATTAATTTATACAAATTGAAAGTCTTACAGGTCCACCCTGTAGCCAAAGAATGATAGGCCATGGCTTGTTTGGATTTTCAGACCTGAATGGACTTCTGTAGTACCACCAGAACATGTGAGCCTCTGTTATATCACACAAAGAAAACACCAATATGAGCATAAAATAATGAACATAATTCTACATCTAAATCAAGAAACTCAGATCTGGAAAATTCTGAGAATTCTGCTTACTGGGTCTGACTTCAACATATCCCCAAGACTCTGATCCATCTTCTGTACTTGCACCATTGGCTATCCCTCCATGAGCCCACAAAAATGCAAGAACAAAAACTAAAATATACGACCTTTCCATTTTGACAGGAAAAAGAAAGATGAAAAGTTGTGCGCAGAAATGGTAATATGAGGTGTTTTTATGTACAAAAAGGATGGTATACTTGAGTGTCTCTGATCACAACAGAAATAACCAACAAAAAGTGGCAGCTGCCGGCAAGGAAATAAATAGCCAGAATTTTGACTTTACAGATGAATTCCCATAATCCTTTCAATTTAGAAAGTATTTATGGATTGTCCCGTTGAGCACGGAATCACTGTGCATATCTAAATAATACGGTACGAATGTGCTGCAAAGCTTTCACCATGGTTAAGAATTGGAGTAAAATATTACTGACATTCTCCTTATTATAGAAAGTTAAATGAATTGTGTAATTATTTTGGGCAATAATTTTCAGTAGATACTTGAGGTATTCCACACTGAAATTTTGCTGAAGATCGTATTTGGTGGCATGTAATTGGGATCTAAACATGAACTAAATGGAAGGGGTTAAAAACTCACTTGGTCACTAAACTTTCAAAGCATGTCGATTTAGTCATTAAAGTGTATTTTTAGCATATATGTTCACACGACTTCCATAATTGTTTCACTTAAGTCACTCTTCATGTAGTAACCATTTTGTTGTGGCGTCTGTCAGTAACCAATGACTGGTGAGATGACATCAATAAACTCTTTCATATTAACCCATCGGCTTATTCACTCATAGGAGATAAATGCGACTATAGATATTGATTTGTTTGGTTTTGTACCATGTAGACATTTCGAAGGAGTTTTTGGGTATTAAATGAGTTTTATAGCCAATTTATTGGCCAACTTCGAGGGACTTATTAGTTGGGTTTCATGTCTCGGTAAAGATGTTAATTAGGTGGTAATTAATCTTTGTCGTGAGGCGATTACAATCATATATTAAGTTGGCAAAATGAATTTGTGCGTGAATTGAAATAGAGTGATGCTAGATGAACAGAGCCCCACTAGCCTCCCATCTATAGTGGCGCCCCTGGATGAGAATGGCCAATCATCTAGAATAATTCATTGAAATAAGACTTCAAACAACATATATTGGAAAGCTTAAGATATATCTTTTTTATTTTACAATGAAACTTGTAATGGACTTCGACTAGTTTATAAAGTATTTCAATTTTCTAATATGTAATTTAGTACATCTTCCCCAGCTACCCCATAGACTAGCCTCAAGGTAGCCACGAGGGTGATGCTTCTCACTACTCATCACTTGGAACGATTCGTGGGTTGATCTGAACTTGCAAAAGGTACTACGCATACATACAAAAAGGTCATGGACAACTGAAATCTATAAGTTCAACTGATTTCATTCTAATTTTTCATCCCAAACCAATTCAAGTATAATTGATTTGTTTTTTTTAACTCATCTCCTGAATTTTGTCCAGATATTTCATGTTTCATTAAATTGTTGGTTGAATTTTTGAGCTTCTAAAAGTTTGAAAAAAATTCAATCAACAAGAGTATGACTAAGTTTTGATTCATAGGTTAAGATTAATGTTTTGTCGTATTAATTTTGAAAAGAAAGGTTGTATCTTGCGAGAAAGAGTACTGTTAGCACTAATGCAGGACAAAACTGTTTTAAGGGAGATTTCCCTCGACATATCTCATTTTATTTAATCGTCGTGATCTTTTACTTCAATTTGATGCTACTTTCTATGATCTTGGTCAAATTTTCAACAATTCATTTTTGTTTGCCACAAGTATTGCAGTTAAATACACAAATCTATCAAATCGACTAACATATATGTACCAGTGACTTAATTGAAAAACTTTGTAATTTGGATAACAACTGCAAATAAATTTGATGACTAAAAGTAACACATTTGAAAAGTTTAGTGACCTGTTAATTTTACGAGTGTTACAATAAAAAAAAAGAACAAGAAAAATCGTTTAAATTTTATCACGATTTTGTTGAAGAGTAATGCTTATTCATAGTCACAGACTGTATTAGTGATTTTTATGTGACAACTTATTATTTGAAATATTAACTTGTTATTTGAGTCAATAAAATTTGCAGTATTTGTATACTCAACTAATACAAATTTAGTTTATTGATCCATTTGCATGGTGCCAATCTAAGATTAGAAAAAGAATTCAAAAGTAAATTAATAAAACATATAAGAAATTTGGGCAATTTTCTAAACAAGATTTGTTCAATTTCCAATTGAAGTTATCTTAACTTATATTAAATTGATTTCGAATCTATATTTATATAATAGAGTATTTTATAGAATATGAATTTTAATTTAATTTGTGATTAGCTGCAGGTGAAAGATGCCAAAAACTAATATATATGAACAAATATATAAACACAAGACATTTATATCTATTTGTATGGCGGAAGATTGCGTGGTAGAAAGTTGTTTTCGCACGGTGTTAACTGTTAAGAAAGGGACATGAGAAACTTTTTCTCTCTGATATTCTCATTTTTCATCACTATTATTATTATTATTTTTTAATATAAAAGAACCTAACTTTGGAAAATGTTCATATTGGACACTTGTTGCAATTTTCCATCATCAACATCCTTTTTTTTTCTAATTCCTTTTTTTTTTATTCCTTCTATTCCATTTTTGCCTTTATTCATACTTCACTATTAATTTTAATTTAGCAAGAAAAAGGAAAAACATGGCCTTGCTTATATCCACAATCTTCTCATTGTTGACTTGCATCTTTTTACTTCTATTTTTTTATAAAAGCGTACGAGTTTGTTTATTAAATTCATTAATGACTTCAGATTTTTTTATCTTTACGATTTAAAGCCATTCTCCTACAAAAATATTTTTAATGGATAGTTTTACACTTAAAAGATGGTAAAATGAAGTTGAAAAATTTTATTTTGGAATTCATTGACTCCAAAAATCATGACTCGATGTTTTTTTAATATATTCTCTGCGTACAAAATTTACGACATTTATAATATATAATATATTAAATTATCACATTAAGGGAGAATAATTTTTTGGACGATTTTAACCTCTTACAATTTAATTATTTCAATAATATCTTATTTTTCATTTTTCGATACGTAATAAATACTACATAATTATTGTCGTTTATAAGGACCAAGATGGCTCCATCTTTGCCAACCCTATTGGAAGCCATAATTTTTCTCCAAAACACAAGATTTGGATGTGCACAATAAACCAAAATATCCCAATGCACATTGTTAACTTTAGAATAAAAGGAAACAACTGGCATGGAACAATAAGTCCATGTGCACCAAAATTATTTGCTACTGGCGATGATAATTATGAGCAAACAATTACATACAATCCTCCTAATTAACCACACAGCCTACTTCCAACCAGTCATAACAAGGAAGTTGTCCGGTCACTGGTCTACAACTATTAATTCACACAAATTAAAAGACAATCAATCATAAGAGTTAAAATAATTGTACCCTCATAGTTTGACTAATTTTTCATGTCGATATATTCAAATATTCTATTTATCGTTGCCATAGACACTATTTGCAGTTGTTTCGAGTATCTTTTTATTGATTTTTTGCTATAGCAGAAGTAAAACATTTCTTATTGAGTCAAATAACAAAATTTTAGTGTTAACACTTCCAGTATTTTGCTTGAAAGTAAGAAATATCGTAGAAAAGTTGGCCACAAAGCTATAACGATGTTGGTGGGCCAAATATTGAATGAGTCATGGCATTCTTCAACCTAAGGTGGGAAAAAAGTTGATTGCCGCACCTGACTTGCTTAGTGCGGTTTATCTGGCTGACGTGATTTTCAGGCTATTACGTCAACCTGATTGTTTACCTAGTGCGCATTCGAAGGGTAACGGTTGCGGGTTCTCCCATCATATTTAAAAAAAAAAAGAAAAAGAAAAAAAGAACAAAGTTGATTGCTAGTGGTAGTCAATAGTCATATCATTCTTTGGGCAATCTGAACAATTTATTTTGATTTTTTTATTTGTTCATACAAAATCTATGAATATTTTTGTTAATTTTATTATAGAAATTGTAAAATGTAAGAAAGAATGTCAAGGAAAATAATAAAAAATATTAATAAGTCCAACATTTTATGAAGGTTCCAAATATTATACAACTTGATTCTCATCTTTCTTACCTATTTTATATAATATTTTGCTTTCTCGTCTTCTCCGCTAACTTTATTTTAATCATGTAAATAAAATACAATATTGGTTTGGTAACATTTTGTCGGTACTTACTACAGTTTGTACTCTAACACTCGTCGTCTATTAAAACTTGGAGAGAGCTAAATATGGGATAAGTTAAATTCAAAAACTGTATTTCTTGTGTTTTTACATGGTATTGAACATGTCAAACAAGATGCAAGAATAAAAGTCCAAAAAAGATTATTACAATATTAATAAGATAAATTCGTGTTATTTGTGTCAATTTTCCATTTTAAATTGAGCAATTATAGCAAAAGTTCAACTTCCTTCTATTTTTATTTTTTCTTGAATTTGGTGGTACAAACGCCTAGTGTTGTTGCATGCCACAGTCAAGTGTTGGTTATGAAATAGCTGTTGGAATATTCTAATATGAGCTTCACATTTGATTATTTAGTTTACGGGCTAGATGTATGCTCATAATGATATTTGTGAATGAGCCAAATTTATTAAGTGATCAATTGAGTCTTTTACACCTTATGGGTTGTAATTAATATGATGTGGTAATTTTAAGTACATGGGCCGAAAATAAACCTTAATTAGAATTTTCGTCGTAATGAGACGGCTCAATCATTTCCTATATAAAGGCCAGGTCCCCTCTCCTCTCCATATTGTTTTCTTAGCTTATCTCATTGATGTCTAATACTTTGTGAAGAACAAGGAGAGGAAAATCTGATTGCTATTATTCATATTAATTATGACTTCCATAGTTATGAATTCGAACCATCAATTCATAATTTTGTGATTCTTGTGTCTTAACATGATTACAATTAAATTCAACAATTGATATCAAAGTCTACCATGCTAAGATCAGAATTCTTTGTAAAAACAATATTCTTCATCCTTCAAATCTGCTTTTTCCAACCTCCAAGATATTTTTCAATTTTTGTTTGCTTCGAAATCACTCAAATTCGCTGGTTAGGGTTTTTATTACTATAGGTGGGCCCTCAATTTGGTGCACATTGAAATGGTAGTAGAATGGCGCCTCCTGATTTGCCGGGCGGCCTTTGGCGTTTTTACTACTCTGACGGGCTTATGCAACCTGAAAAGTGAGAGTGGGGCTTTTTCCCCCATTTTACTTCCGGTGTGATAATCAGTATATGTTGGGAGAAATGTAAACTGAAATCAGATGACCGAAAGAAAAAATGTCAAATCCCATACCTGGGTGGTCATTATGCCATGTGTCCCACGTTGGCTTTTCCATTTTCCCACGT